CTTGAGCCCAGGAGTTGGAGGTTGCTGTGAGCGTGATGCCATGGCACTCTACCCAGGGGGATAGCTTGAGGCTCCGTCTCAACAAAAAAAATAAATAAATAAAATAAAAATAAAAATAAAAATAAAAAAGTATTCCTGGCCATGGTGGCTCAGGCCTATAATCCTAACACTCTGGGAGGCCAAGGTGGGTGAACTCAGGAGTTCAAGATCAGCTGAGGACAAGCGAGACCCTGCCTCTACTAAAAACAGAACAATTAGCTGGACACAGTGGCACATGCCTGTGGTCCCAGTTACTTGGGAGGCTGAGGCAAGAGGATTGCTCAAGCCCAAGAGTTTGAGCTTGCTGTGAGCTATGATACCCTGGCACTCTGCCCAGGGAAACTGAGTGAGATTCTGCCTCAAAATTAATTAATTAGCTAATTAATAAAGAAGTATGCCTTAGCAAAAAGCTGTTAGTTGGCTAACCCACTCTCCATCTCCAATTCTTCTCCTTGCCCTGGCAATGAAAAATACTGGGATGGTCACGTGACCCCATTTTGGCCAGTGAGTATAAGTAAAAAGTCTCTCAGTAAGTGAAAGAGAGCTGTTCCATATTTCAGATGTCTTGTGTTAAATATAGAGAAGTAGAAAAATTAGTCATGCCACATAACTACTCAATCTGCCTTAGGAAAACATACTTGAACAAAACCAGTTTATAAATAATGAATAAATGGGTAATGAAATCACTTCTCCTTACACTTTATGGTATGCCTGACACTCAAGAAAAAAGGCCTCCTATAGAATAAAAGATGATAATAAAAGCCAACTACTAATATAATGTTCCAACTCCTGTACCAGGATTATTCAAGTCACCATAAAGCCAAAGATTCAGCATTAACATAGGAAGAAAAAAAATAAACTACTTTATTTGAAAATGTAAAAGGGAAACTAAGTAAGAGCTGTGTGAAGAGGAAAAATTATGATCTCCACAATAACCTTTAAAAGTTATATGTATCATTAAAATGAAGTTTAAGAGCAGTAGCATATTTTCACTTCCATTTGGTCCAGAAACACTCATGAAATTATTTATAGCCTTCGGAGGTGATAAATTTCTGAAAAGGTAAATAAAATGCACTTTCAAAGTCTTTTGCTAAAAACATTATATGCTTCACCAAGAAGTTATATTTAAGACTCTTACCATTGACAGATCTCTGTTGTTATTCTTCAGTTTTTCTTCTTGCCTCTCTAAAAACAATTGATGAAATGGTTAATACAGATAGTGCTAAGCAAAAAGTAGCTGTTAAACTGTGACTAATTAGTAATTACAAAACCACTCTACCTTAGTATCCCTCAGTAAGATAAAGTAATTATTACATATTGAATGTTGTGTATTTTATACTAACAGAAAGTTCAAATGTAGCACAGCACCAAAATATTTCAATTTAAATAAATAGGCCAGGCGTGGTGGCTCATGCCTGTAATCCTAGCGCTTAGGGAGGTTGAGGAGGGTGGACTGCCCTGAGCTAAGAGGTTCGAGATCAGCCTGAGCAAGAGCAAGACCCCATCTCTAAAAACAGCTGGGTAAGGCTTGGTGCCCATAGCTCAGTGGTTAGGACATCAACCATATACACTG